CATGCAGTCATGCATGCATACACCCGGACACAGACACACACACACACACAAACACACACACACACACATGCACGCACAGAGAGAGAGAGAGAGAGAGAGAGCGAGAGAGAGCGAGAGAGCGAGAGAGAGAGCGAGAGAGAGCGAGAGAGAGCGAGAGAGCGAGAGAGAGCGAGAGAGAGCGAGAGGGAGCGAGAGAGAGCGAGAGAGAGCGAAAGCGATGGAAAGCGAGTGAGCGAGAGCGATCGAAAGCGAGCGAGAGAGAGCGAGAACACAAGGTCGTCCGCCACCACGACCGACAACGACCTCCCAATGCCTACCTGTTACTCTCAGTCACGCAAGGATTGCAGCCACTGTGCCAACTCACCCAAGTGATGTTTCGTTCACTCGACAGGGGTGAGGGAAGTCCGTGTATGCTGTGTGGTGGTGGTGAACCGCGTACTTGTTGCATGCCTGCATGCAACAGCCGTCGGTTCTGTCTCAACTCGATTTGGGTTTCGTGCCTGTCAGCCGGTGCTTCAAACGACGCGTACATGCTCGGACCAGAATACACATGGAGGAGGGAATCGCGCGTTGTGCTTTCACTGAGCTCAAGCCACAATCGCGGCCGGAGCCAAAAATCTCTACACGACTATTTGCAGCGGTTGCACGGTGCCAGCAGGATCTTGGAGAGTGCTGCAGAGAAGGGCAGAGCCCCGAACCTTTGAGATCTTTAACAAGATACAGTGCTGACTCCAAGCCTGCCGAGCCCATCCGAGCCCCATGCCAGCAACCGAAGGCGACTCCCCACCGGCGGTAGAAGTAGCTGTCAGCCCGCCCAGACTGCAGGCTAGCCACAGCACGTCATTGCAAATCATGGCAACACGAAAACTTGACTGTTGGCTTCTTGTCACCTCCTGTGACAAGGTCGTGCGAACATTGACGATATAGAAGGCCAGAAGCGCCAGGTCAACCGCAATCACCGCGCAGCCGCAAGGGCTGGTATACACCTGTCGGGTTTGAAAACCCTGCCTCTCTCCATGAGGCATAAATATCCGTAGTCGTCCGTCTAGGACGCCAGCGTAGTCCGAGCTGTAAGTGCGTGAAGTTGCGAAATCCTAAGCTATAAATAGTTGTTTGGCAAGTGCGTCACATATGACATGCGCACCGAAACTACGTAAGCCACCCGCTGCCCAAAGCTCCAGCAACAGGCAAGATAGCAGGAAGGGGCCGAGGATCATGAACATCCTGCACTTGAGCTGATCGCAAGTAGCGTAATCAGACTTCAGGATTCCCACATCTTGCAGGGCCGCAGACTTGTCGCCCGTGTAGAGGCTTCAGGCTCCCAACGCTAAAAAACTGTGAGTTTCGTGCGAGAAATGTCGCAGAATAAGGCGGCCATCAGGTTTTAATTGTGATTTGATTCGGGTTCACACGGACATCCACACCAAAACGAATTCCTACTGCATATTACAGGGCAGGAAGGCATGCACGCAGGTGGATTTCCGACGGTCCGAAGCCTGCCGACTCCTGCTAGTCTGATGTTCTTCTTCTCTCCCGTGCTTGATTGCTTGCTGGGCCTCTCTCTCTCTGTCCCTTCCTTCCTTCCTTCCTTCCCTCCTTCCTTCCTTCCTTCCTTCCTTCCTTCCTTCCCTCTCCCCTCGCCCCTCTCCTCTCTCCCCTCTCCCCTCTCCCCTC